CAGCATACCCTAATCATGGCTCCGAGTCATTGTTCTACCAACCCTGTACCTTCCACAGATTTCTCTAGCATTAGACAGTATTTTGAATGTTCCAAAGCTTGAAATTGAAAACCCTACCATAGAAGTCAAAAGTCCAGCAGATCTTGACTCTCCAATGAGAAAGATAAATATCTCAGCACATTCACTATCAACTTCTCTCCTTGTAGAAGAAGAAATAATTTCTCAGGAATTTGGGAGACTGTTGTAGTTATACTGTAAAGCAATTTCTTTTTCTTTTCTTTTTTTTTTTTAAGATTTTATTTATTTATTTGACACAGAGAGAGTGATAGAGAGAAAGAGAGCACAAGCAGGGGGAGTGGGAGAGGGAAAAGCAGGCTTTCCATCGAGCAGGGACCCCGAGATGCGGGGCTCGATCCCAGGACCCTGGGATCATGACCTGAGCCGAAGGCAGACGCTTAACAACTGAGCCACCCAGGCGCCCGACTGTAAAGCAATTTCTTTTTTTTTTTTTTTAAAGATTTTATTTATTTATTTGACAGAGAGAGAGATAGCGAGAGAGGGAACACAAGCAGGGGGAGTGGGAGAGGGAGAAGCAGGCCTCCAGCGGAGCAGGGAGCCCGATGCGGGGCTCGATCCCAGGACCCTCGGATCATGACCTGAGCCGAAGGCAGACGCTTAACGACTGAGCCACCCAGGTGCCCCTGTAAAGCAATTTCTAATGATGATAAAATGAGGAAGTGTTTACTATTTCCTCAATTTAGTAAATCCTTATAATGCTATATGTCTAGTTTTTCCTCTGTAATAACCAGTTCAGAACTAGGCATTGTGAAATTGTGACTCAGATTGGGGCAAGACCTCCCCCATGATTTTCTGTGTATTCCAGGAACCATAATGATTTGTCCTCAACTTATCTTTGCTGGCTCACTGGTGGCATGATCCAAGCCCTACTAATCTCAGGAGTGTGAGCCTCTTGCTAACTATGTTCTTTTCAGGTTGGGTTCACTGTATTTGTTTATTTACATTCAAAATTGGGCAAAGAAGTACAAAAGGGCACAATGAGGATCACCTAGATTCCACACGTATTCCTCCCTGCTCCCACTGTAATGACAGCTATGTAGAGGAACATTTCTTCTCCTAATGATTAGGAGCAATTGCCCCTGCCAAACAGGACTCCTCCTCCTCTTCGTTTTCATGTCTTTTCCCTTCTATGCCCCTGAACAACTGGCCAGGACATTCATCACTGCCATGAGCATATATATATTCTCACCAGATTCACTGCCCATTTCACTGGTATCCTTCCAATTCACAGCCATTGACAGTTTTAACAACTGAAAGGCCACTTTGTGCCAGGAGCTGTGTTCCATCTGCCATCAGGGCTCTTCATTGGCAGCCAGGTGATGAATGATCAGCTCCCAAGTCCCATTTTATTGATTGCTTGTTGGACAACTACTAATACCGATGATCACAGTTGCGTTTCCGGAAGCAGACACTGAATGGAGTTCAAAAGGCAAATTGTTTATTAGGAATTAACATCTGTGAAAGGAAGGAGGGAAGAAGTCAAATTTGGCAAAGAAGAAGTTAAACTGCAGGGGAGAGCAGACACATTCTTACCAACTCTGCAGGGAGCACTTGAGTGAGGATAGCCCACCAGAGTGTTCCATATTTGGGTTAAAATGGCTGACCTTACCTCACTCAGTGAGGAAACTACCCCCACAAAAAGTATGACTTTAGATAAGGAGACTCTTTTCAGTTGTGACCAACCAGGAAGGAATATCATATTTACATATATACATATGTATATACTTCGAAGAAATAATATAGTGTTTTATAAATTTTATAAATTTCCATTTTTAATTAACATATACTTTATATATTCCTGTGTTAACAAATATGTCTAAATGATCACTGTTAATGACTACTTGTATTCCACTATAGGTTTTTGTAGTAATTAACAAGTCCTCTGCATTTGAGCACTCATATATTATCTGATTCTGTATTAAAAGTTTTTGGTGAATCTCCTCGTCCTTTTATACCTATAGACTTACACAATTACTTCTTTATATTAAATTCATAGAAGTAGAGTATCAGAGTCTATATTTTAAGTTACCAAATTATTCTCCAGGAAAGCCATGTAAATTTATATCTAAGTTAAAACCATGTAAGAATGTTCTATACTCTAACCAATACTATCTTTGGTCATTTATTCATCTCTGTCATTTCTTCATCTCTGTCAATCTCACAGTTGAAAATTATATCTTTTAAAATGAAGTTGACTATTTTGCTATATGTTTATTATAGACTTTCTTTCTTTTTTCCTTCCTTCCTTCCTTCCTTCCGTACAATTGCCTCTTGTGTTCTTAGTCCATTTTTCTATATGCATTTTTGTCCTTCTTTAAAAAAAGCATTTTTTATATCAAGGACATTTAGTCTTTGTCTCAGTTGATGAATGTTCTCTTTTTTTGCCATTTTTTTCATGTAAAAGTTTTTAAGTCAACTTTTCAAAATTTGAATTTTTCAAGTTCAAGTCTATCTTCCTTTCTTACTTCAAGCTGTGACCTTATGCTTAAAAAGGCTTGCCACAGGCGCCTGGGTGGCTCAGTTGGTTAAGCGACTGCCTTCGGCTCAGGTCATGATCCTGGAGTCCCGGGATCGAGTCCCGCATCGGGCTCCCTGCTCGGCGGGGAGTCTGCTTCTCCCTCTGACCCTCCTCCCTCTCATGCTCTCTGTCTCTCATTCTCTCTGTCTCAAATAAATAAATAAAATCTTTAAAAAAAAAAAAAAAGGCTTGCCACATGCTCACATGAATAACCAGATAAATTTCTTTCTAGTACTTTTATATTCATTTTTCATAGATCAAATTTTTAATACATCTGAAATTTATTTTTAGTTCCAGCTGTCAAGAGGTATATGAAAATACTTATTTCCTTTAGGGAAGCCCTTGACGCAGAAGCACTTCTTAAAGAACTGATCCTTTCTCATTGATATATAGTTGGTATGATTCTGGTTTTGAATATTCTTATGTTAATCTGTCTCTATAGTCCACCCTTAGAATCCTACTGCTTTAATTATTATAGCTGTATGATAATTTATACCTTAGAGAAAGAATGGTTATTAATTTTTTTTGTCTTTCATAGGGTTTCTTTTTGAATTTGCAAAAATTTTGCAATTTTTAAAAATCATAACTCAAACCAGAAGCTTTAAGTTCTTAGAATCCAGGAAAGTTTTGGCAACATTGTTTTAAGGAAACCATCAAGGCAGCAGGGCAGTTCTCTTGTTAACAAGAAATAGAAATGCCTTTCCTTCCACCTTATGGCTCTGTCTCTCGCGACACATTAGGATTCTGTCAAGGTTCGTATTCTCATGGTGGGAAATACGGCTTCTGGCCGCTCAGGATTTTTATGTTAGGGCCTTAGCCACCAGATTGAAACTAATCTCAATTTTTGGCTTTGGGTTATTGGAATTTTCTGACAAGGGATGCATGAGCTCAGCTTGGGTTCGGCAGCCACCATTTTACATGGTTCATGCGGAAAAGTGCCTTGAAGACTTTTAAACTCTTGGCAAGAAATTTGGTAATGATTTCTATAATTCAGTAGTAGTAGGTTTGCAAATTATAAATGGTTTTGAAGTTATGGTTAGAATTGTGTTTGGTGAAGTATTTTGACAAAGGAAATGCAAAATGAGAATGGTTTTGTTTTCTCTTATTTTAATGGTGTAGAGAACATTGCTATTGTTTGCTGTTTAAAAAGTGGATCTGCATGAATGGTTTAAATGTTTGAAATGCATGCTCAGTATTCATCATAAAGGAATGTTTTTGAACCGTGTAGAGTTGGTTTATAACCCAACAGCTTTTTATGACAATAGGCAGCCACTACTTGGCCACATCAATCAGGCATCCAGATTCTACCTGTAGTAGACAAAACACTCCTTACATTTAAAACTGCAAGATGGAAGGAGGAAATAGAGAAGTATCCTTTTAATATTTTATTTTATTATTATATGATATAATCAGGAAAATGCAGCTTTGTTTAAATTAAGCCAAAGAGTGTGCTTTTTTTAATTATTATGTTCTGTTCATCACCATACATTACATCATTAATTTTTGATGTAGTGTTCCATGATTCCGTGTTTGTGTATAACACCCAGTGCTCCATTCAATATATGCCCTCTTTAATACCCATCACCAGGCTAACCCACCCCCCCAACCCCCTCCCCTCTAGAACCCTCAGTTTGTTTCTCAGAGTCCATAGTCTCTCATGGTTCATCTCCCCCTCTGATTTCCCCCCCTTCATTCTTCCCTTCCTGCGATCTTCTTCTTCTTCTTTTTTTTTGCTTTAATCATGATTCCCATTTTTATTATCCATTCACGATTCCTTTATCAATCAGCAAGTTCTTTTATGCAGCCATTATAGCTTTAATTTATGGTCTAGTTTCTTTTTCTTCTTTTTTCTTAAATTATTGAGCTCACCTCCTAACCTGTCAGCTTCTTTAGGGTAGGGACTTTCTTATTTCTCTTTAAGTACCTAGAAGCTAAACACTGTGTTTAAATATAAGTTGGTACTCTATAAATGTGTGTGGTTCTTTTTTAAAGATTTTATTTATTTATTTGTGAGAGAGAGAGAAAGAACATGAGTGGGGGGAGGAGGGGCAGAAGGAGAGGGAGAAGCAGACTCCCCACTGAGCAGGGATCCTGACATGGGGCTTGATCCCAGGGTCTTGGGACCATGACCTGAGCTGAAGGCAGATGCTTAACCAACTGAGCCACCCAGGTGCCCCAAGAATTTTTTTTT